TTTCTTCTCACAATATTTACAAATTACAGCTTTGCTCTCAGCAAAAATTGCACTGTGGAAATGTTTCCAAACTCTAGATGTTCGTCTCACCATTTTACTGAGAGGAGGAAAGGAAAAATCAATTTACTGATAAGACTATAGGTAAACATAAAGGTTTTAAAGATAAACTAATTTGTCAGACAAATGTACCCTCTTACCAGTGGCAGATCATCCATGGGTGCAGGGTGCTCACTGCACATGGGCCACGAGGATGGGGTGGAGGGACACTGTGCTCTGACCCACACTGCACCCTGGTTGGTACCTCCTGCAGCAGGTGAACTTTGACAGTTAGCGGTTATTAGTGCGGCGGTGGGGGCAGTTACAAGCACCATCCTCCCTGCAGCAGCTGAAAGCAGCTTCTTTTCCTTTCCCTCCCATGGATTTCAACTGCTTCATTGAAAGCTATACAGAGGATCAGTGCTTAAACTTGCCCCCACTTCCACACCGATCATCACCAACTGTCCATCAGATAATTTCCCTTATTTTCTGGGCCCCTTGTGTTCTCCTCTGGCCTCCTGTGTGCTCCTCGGCCCCCCTGTGTTCTCTGCCCCCAGTGTACTCCTTGACCCCCGTGTTCTCCTCTGGCCCCCTGTGTTCTCTGCCCCCAGTGTGCTCCTAGACCCCCGTGTTCTCCTCCTGCCCCCGTGTTCTCCGGCTCCTCATGTTCTCCTCCAACCTCCCTGTGTTCTTCTCCTGCCCCCTTGTGTTCTCCCCCAGCTCCTCATGTTCTCCTCTGACCCCCTTGTGTTCTCCTCCAGCCCCCCTGTGTTCTCTTCTGGCCCCCCTGGTGCTCCTCACCCCCCCCCCCATCCCGCTACCGGCTTCCTTCCTCTCCTCTCCTGCCGGCTGTTGTGGGGGATGTGTCAGGATGGAACGTGGAGGAAGGGGCTGATGAATATGTCATTTACCGGCCTCTTCCTTTTCTGAATGAGCAGAGACAGCAATCGGTAACAATCACTGCCCATTTAAAACTGTAGCATCGCAAACTGTGTTTACTATGGTTCAGTTTATGAATGAACAGGAGCCTCTGTCTCCTGTTCATTCATCTTCACTACAGCTGAGGACACAGAGAAAGGGACGGGAGAATCTCTGTCCTCAGTCCCTTTCTCTGTCTCAAAGGGGAGATGTCAGGGCTCTGTTTATACCCCTGACATCTCACCAAAGCCCCCAGCAAGCCTGATAAAAGAATTGTAATAAATATTTTAAAAAATCGTAACAAAAATTAAAAGAAATAAATTAAATTAAGAAACAACTCACACGGTCCACAAAGCCCCCCCCCCAAAAAAAAGCACTGTGGAAATTTAAAAAAAAATAATAAAATTTTCAAAAAAATAAATAAAAAGAAAAAACTGCTGACAGCTGACACCATCCACTGCTCTACTGACACCATCCAATTTAAAAAAAAAACTAAAAAAAAAAAACTAAAATAATAAAATTTAAATAAATAAATAAATAAATAAAAAGAAAAAACTGCTGACACCATCCACTGCTCTACTGACACCATCCACTGCTCTACTGACACTGTCCATTGCCCCCCCCCCCCCCGTCCAAAAAAAAAAAATAATTGTGTGAAAAAATAATACTAAAATAAATACTAAAATAAATTGTAAAAAAGAATAAGAAAATAACTTTGTAATAATTAAAAATAAAGTAATAAAAATAAAAACAATTCTGAAAGTGTTCTTTGCTCTACTGACACCACCCACTGCCCTACTGACACTATCCACTGGCCCCGAAAAAGCATTTAAAAAATGAAAAAAAACCCCATACTACCCATCCACATACTACCCACTGCCATACACTCCGCACTTTTCTCCAGCACACACTCCCTACCGCTGTACACTCCACAAGCCTCTCCCTGCAAATACTACCCACCTATGTACTCTCTGCACTGTACTTTCCCTTCCACATTCTGCATTATGTAAGTCATCTCAAACTTTATTTAACCACACCCCCTTTAAGCCATGCCCAATATTTAGCACAATTAAACCACATCTACCTTTTACCCACTTTATGCACATGGGCCCACTGATTTTATGATACGTCCCTGCCTCCTACCTGTCAATAAGGCCTGAGAGGAGGACAGAAACTATCATCTACTGTATGCCAACAATCACCCAACTGTAGGAGGTACAAGGTGGAGCCCACAAGCAAGCTAAACTGGAGCTTTCCCCCTGCAGTGCCCCCTAGTGACATAAATGCACATTTCTCTTATTTCAGAACTGTATTGAAATGTCAAGTATTATTCTGTGTTCCAGAATCTGCTTGCCTTCAGCTGAGAGAACTTGCAATAATTTACATAAAGTCTCAAATCTTTCATTAAAGTCTTATATAGTTGTTATATAGTTTGAATACCATGTCATATACTGTATATATATTATTTTTTTATTGTAAAGGAACATGTTTCACACTCCTTTTTGTTTTTTATTTTGTTTTTTTTTCCAGAAAAAAAACAAAAACAGCTTTGGAAAAAAATGGAAAAAGCATTTTTTTCCCCCAGTTTTTCAGTTTTTTTACCAGGCCTTCCCATCTTTAATTAGTATATATATTTTGCAGTATAGTTTATCACAAGCAATGAGATGAGATTATTATATATTACACTAGTATACAGTTTTGGATGGAGCCGAAAGGAGGATTAGAACCCCTGTCAGGTTTTTACTGCTGTCTCCATTTCCACCAGGGAGATTTACTTTCTCTGTTTATTCTGGTGATTTATGTCAACAGGACTGAGGCTACCTTCACACTGGCCACACGGTAAAAAATGCAGGCTAGTGCAGTGTCAGGTCAGGCAGGGAGCTGTGCAATGCACTGTTCAATGCATCAAACTGTTTTTTTTCCACAACTTTATTTAAAGTGCCACATAGTGACACGTCATTCATGTCACTACAAACCAGTGTGGGGATATGTGTGTACCATCCAGTGCAGTGCTAAATAAATGTGTGAATGGCGTACTATGTTCCCTAGCAGTGACCTGCATTTATCCAGTGCAGAAAAATGCAGGTCACCAGACATGGCATGAACGAGCCCTGAAATGAGGGAACGTTCAAAAATTTGAGTTGTTGGCGGAACTGGAATAAAGCCCTGTACACACAGACAGAATATTGGCTAAATGCAGGTGCTGCAGTAGAAACTGGTGAACATTAGGCCCCTGTGTACAGGTCCTTTTCTGGCAGAAGGCGATCTCTCGACTGGCTTCTGCCGAACGACCAGAAGTCAATCGACATTGGATCAGCACTCTCAGCCAATGGCTGCAAGCACTGCCCAGTGTGTTCTGGTGGAGGTGGTCCCCCTGTCAGAACACAATAGCACAGTAGGGAGATCATTGTACTAACATTGGATAATTAGTACAACGACCTCCTGGTGAGCTTCCCGGGTTTTTTTTTTGTTCAGCCTGCTTGATTGAGTGAAAAAAAACGTGTGTGTACCAGCCATAAAGGGGAAATCTTCCAATGGGATTGATCCTATATAAAGATGTCCATATACTCTTGTTTTATTTGTATTCAGCTTGCAGGCTATTCGAAAAAATCTAACAGATTCCTCTATCCACGCTAATATGGCCAATGGGCGAATCCCCTCGGCCAGTGGTTGTAAGAACACTTGAACAGCAGCTGCATCTGACTGAATGCAGGTACAGTTCAGATGACAATTTTCAGCCCAGCCACTTCACTTTTTCAGTTGAAGGATGTTGGGCCAGAGGGGTCTGACAGACCCATGTAGTATATATGTAGCTGGTTCAACCAGCTTTAGGCCATATTCACATTTGGCCACACTTAGGTTATTTAAATGCAAGAAGAAGAAACAAATGTTAAGCCTCCCAGATGATGTTCTCCTGCATTTGAATGCATTTGCTACCATGTACATATACACAGTTTAAATGCTTTAATACACGTTCAGAGTATTTAAAAAATAGGTATGGCCATACTTCCCATCTGGCTCACATACTTTTGCACTCCTGTGACCCAAAATCAGCTGTCAGCAGTCTAAATTCTGATGTCGGCTGGCATCACAGAGCTGCTCCGGTCTCTTAGAAGAGCCTGACAATAATGTCAGGATCCACCCACATGCCCGGCTCAGCCCATTGCACTGCTGAGAGCCTGAGCCAGCTGCTCCCGCTCCCACCCCAGTCCAGTGAGTCCCCCAGTGAGTTCTGACATTCACTGCTCTTTGCTCAGAGCAGATCGAGAACTGAGCAGTCATATGTTCTCATTTTGGAAAGAGTTCAGTTCTTGTTGAATTTACAGGACATGAAGTGAAGGGAATGCTCCCTAATTGGATACACAAGGGAAAAAATTTTTTACACACAGTTCTGACAGCTCTGGAGGAAGTCTTTCTGGAACAGTCAGGGCCGTATGATAACAAAACATTGTTTACTGCTATCTGTAACTGCTCTTCCTGTCAATATCAATATTAATATATTGTTGATAAAGCGAACAAAAACACACGTGTGATTTCCTACATTGAAAAAAAAGCATTAAAAAAAATAAGAACTGGTGACAGGGTCTCTTCGAAAAGCTGATATTGAGAAACTAATTTTAGGCCACAAAAAGACCAATTTTCAGCTTTCAGCGCTGTCACACTTTGAATGATAAGTGTGCGGTCATGCAACACTGTACCGATATGAAATTTTTATCATTTTTTTGAGACAGAGCTTTCTTTTGGTGGTATTTAATTAATTTTTTATTAATTTTTTTATTTTTTGCTAAACAAACCAAAAACAACTGAAATTTTTGGGAAATTTTTTTTTTTCCTAGTTTCTGTTATACAATTTTGTAAATAAGTGATTTTCTCCTTCACTGATGTGCGCTAATGAGGCTGTAGTGATGGGCACTGATAGGCTGCACTGATGGGCACTGATAGGTGGCACTGATGAGGCGGCACTGGTAGGTGGCACTGATGGGCATTGACAGGCCTCACTGATGGGCACTGAAAGGCAGCACTCATATATGGCACTGATAGGTGGCACTGATAAGCAGCACTGACTGGCACTGATAGGTGGCACTGTTAGGCGGCACTGATAGGCGGCACTGACTGGTACTGATAGGTGGCACTGATTGGCAGCACTGATAGGCGGCACTGATAGGTGGCACTGAAAGGCAGCTCAGATGGACACTGATATGTGGCATTGATTTGCACTGGTAGGCACTGATATGTGGCATTGATGTGCACTGGTAGGTACTGATATGTGGCATTGATAAGCACTGACAGGTGGCACTAATGGGGCTACACTGATCATCAGTGCCCTGATGATCAGTTTACATATCTCCTCTGAGTAATGCCGTCATTTCCTTATATGGTGGGCGGGAGCTAGTTAAAGTATTTGCACATTGATGATACTCTGTGGTTGGGGGTGCTGAACACTGCACTATTAAATTAGCGCCATATACATTTACAGATGTATACTCAGAACGCAAGTTTTCTGTCATCTAGGCATATGCATCAGACCAAAAACCCCTTGGTTCAGAGTTCAGCCCTGTCCGATCGAAGCCGAATTCAGCCTGCCATAGACTTGACAGGTTGTAGGCAGTGGAATGGAAGCTGCTCCTGAGCACTTTTTTCATTCTGGATGTGTATGGAATGGCAAAACCCTTCTTCCTTCTAGCTTTGTGACAATGGTTAGAAGGCTTAGTACTGTTATTTGTACAGCCCTGACAACGCTAGAACTATCAGGGATGTATGATAACACTTTCAGTACAGCTATTTGTGGTCAGTATCAGTGGGAGGAATACTTGTCAGTGCCAGTGTGTACATGTACAATATATTTGCTTTGTAAAAATAAATGATTGCTATTGTTGAGTGTTCTACATCTGTGGATGTTGCTGCTTTCTTCTTAGTTTATTTTTTTTACATTTTAGAATAGGGTGCTTTGAGAATATGCATCATTTTAAAGAGTGCCTTGACGGAAAAAAAGGTTAGATAGATTAGACAGTATCACATGTAAATGGAGTTGTGGACCCTCCATGCAGCCTGCACACTTGGGCATACCTAAACAATCTATTCAATTATTATCCAATCAGGCAGCATTACATAGTTGATGAAAGAGTCCCTTGAAGCACTGAGATTAAAGTGTTACTAAACCCAGGACCCTGCATTCACTATATCTGGTCTCCCACAGTACACACAACATGGAAATTCAATTATTTTAGTAAATATAAACTGCTAAATACCTTTTCTCATCAGCAGTTAGAGATGTCTTGTGACTTCTATTAGTGTCCAGCAGAGCACTGGTTAAAGCTTGTAGGAAGAGATTTAATTCTCCTTTGTGAGGCTGCATAACCCCTGACCCTCTGTCCAAACAGTGCTGATTGGCCCTGTGCTAATCACATGCATACTCTCAAGAAAAAAAAAAAACAAAACTCTCTAGCAATACATAACAAACTGAGCATGTGCAGAGTGACTCCTAGAGCTCTATTCTGTCAGCAGATGGATTGGGAACAGTAGAAGATGGGGAGGATCAGAGAAGACAGGATCAAACAGCCTTTTTACACAGTGCAGAGGATTAACCCCTTAGGTTCCACAGTGAGTATAACAAGCATGCTTTACTGCATATACAGACTGATTTTACTGTGGTGGGTTTACTTTAAGGCCCCATTCACATCAGGCTATTTGGGATCGCAGGCAAATCACCGCGATTTGTCCCATGATTCCAAAACACTGTAATTGTGGCAAAACGTGTTTAGGTGCCATTTACTTTTAATGGCAGTTCAAACGCAGAGTGGTTTTGCCACAATTGTAGCATGTCAGAATCGTGTGGCAATCATGGCAAGTCATATCACACAAAGCTTTGCTCCTTTTTGGGTGACAAGCTTTGGGCAATACAATTTGCTGCAATTGTGGCACGATTCTGTCACTCTACAATCATGGCAAAACCGAACTGAGTGACAGGAAAAAAGAGGATCCGGAGTCCACTGCACTTCTTCCACTTTATTTAATGCTTTCAAAAAAATATCACATAATATCGGGAGCAAAGAAAAGTTAACACGTTTCACGCTTAGATGAGGTTATGGTGAGGCTATGAATAAGCGCTAGTTCTAAAAACGTGTTAACTTTTCTTTGTTCCCGATACCCTCTTTTTTCCTGAATTACTACAGACGAGCTGAGCGTGCACCTTCGCCTATCGTGGTCAGTGGGAGACAGACACTAACCACCCGGAGCAGCTTTGGCTGACACTCTGCGTCTGAGGTGCCATTCAGAATGAATGGCACCTAAACATGCGTTTTGCCACTATTGCAGTGCGATTTGGAAACCTGGGCAGAATCATGGCAGTTCCCCCTGCGATCCCAAATGGCCAGATGTGAATGGAGCCACAGGGATCACTGAACAGTAGAGAATACAACCCAAGCTGGCAGGTGTGCACAGAAACAAACAGACGCTGGGAACTGGTGATTGTAAAGAGACAAACAGGATTACAAGGAATTGAGTAAATGCGTTTTTGGTTGCGGGAAATCACATGGTGCAAAAGCAGCATGCAATTTCTGTGCAGCTGTGAATTAAAAAAGGTGCAGAGTCCTTTTACCTGCATGAAACATAGGCCATGCCTGAGCACATGTGGCTCGCAGAGCCGTTTAAGTGTCAACCTAGCATAAGGCTTCATTTGCATGGATGACTAGCCCCGGAGGGAAAGAAAGTGGCAGGCATCTGCTGATACATACCTGTGAACATCTAGCTGCGGCTGCTGAGCCCTGTACACTTCAATAAAAGGTAAGCAGCCACAGTTGTATGTGGCTGTCTGCTCAGCCATAGATTACCTGCAGTGATCGCTGCCAGGACTTGAGTTTAGCCCCCCAAGAAGTGCAGTGCCAGAATAATTTCTAATCACTGCCACCTCTGATACATTATACATAAAATCGCAGTGTTGGCAATATCAGGCCTAATCTATGCTAGCACTAGCAGGTAAATTTTATTTTTAGTGTGCAAGCAGTCCCTGACCGCCAGGAGCTCTTTTTCACATAGTTGCATTAAAAGGTTTGAACTGTCCTGGCATTTTAGTACCTCAAGAAGTGTGATAGGTAGTCAGAAAGTCAGAGACGCTTAAAAGCTGTGTAAATTCCAGTATACAGTGGACACCATTGTTTGTAGAGGCAATAACTTTCACACAACTAACCACTTGCCCTACAGATGATTTACCCTCCTTCCTGACCAGGCCATTTTTTGTGATATGGCACTGTGTTACTTTAACTGACAATTGCGCAGTCATGCAACGCTGCACCCAAATGCAATTTATGTCCTTTTTTCCCACAAATAGAGCTTTCCTTTAGTGGTATTTGATCACCACTGGGCTTTTTATTGCTTGCGCTATAAACTAAAAGACCGAGGGGCCCCGCGGCCATCTTTGTTTACATCTGGGTCAAAAATTTTTGAATGAGTTGCTTCTGTTATCCTGTGCCTGTATACTAAATAAAATACCTCAAGGATATTACACTATGTGGCCTTCTCTGTTTATTTGAGCTCTGGTGATAACCAGCCAGATCCACAGAGTAGCCGCATCTATCCGAGTGCCAGGCAGCAAGAGCCACATGACCAGATCTGAGCAGACCAATTTGATGACACCAGAGGTCCAGTGATTTGATATACAAATGCGCATAAAGATTGCGTATCTGGTGAGTGCGCAATCCTTACATTTTTTTTTTATTCACCTGGCTGTTCCAATCATTGGACGTCTGAGGATCATCCTGGATCTTAAGAGCACCCCTTCTTTGGACTCTTTTGTGATTTTACACCTTTATGTCACTTTATAGCCACAATCCAGTGGCTTTATTTTATTTGCACACAGTCACTATCTATTATTTGTGTTACTTTTAATTTCATCAGTGTCTGTTATTTTGTATAGCGCTGCACCTCCCCCCCTTATTTGAATAAAAAGCACTGTCACTGTACTAATGACACTTGGCAGGAAGGGGTTAACATCTGGGGCAATCAAAGGGTTAACTGTGTGCTTTTTCACTTTGTGTGCTGTGTGTGTGCTTCACTGTAAGCACACTGCTTTGTATGACTGTGCTATGCAGAGCCATACAAAGCAGTGTGCAGGAGCTGACAGTAGAGAGATCTGTGTTGTTTATACACAGGTCTCTCCCCTGCTGGTAATACTCTGCGCTCACCAGGTGCCGGGAAATAATCACTTACTGGGACCTGGTGATTGACAGCTGTGGCTGCAAATGGTGGCACGGGTAGAGCATAGGGTAGAGCATGCGCGTGGCTCATGCACGCCCCCTACCTGGAAATGCAAATGCACTTATATATACACATGATTTTGTGCGCACCCCTGCCGTTACTGCATGTAAGGCAGTGCTTTTAAACCGTTTACTGTGTGAGGTTTTACTAGGGGATGTGCTGGTTTTTATCTCCTTGCTTTGCAGGGAGGTAAAAACCAGCATATCCCCACTGACAGGAGAGATATCTGTATTGTTTACATTCACAGATCTCTCACCTGTCATTTCCTCCACCAATCACTGGGTCCTGGCCATGACATCTACAGAAGCCACTGACAGTGCCGATAGGTGGGCACACACCCACCCCCTATCCGGAAATGCAGAAACATGCATATATCCATGATTCTGCACAGAGTGCCCACCCTGTAGCAGTATAACTGCTATAGGGCGGTCAGTAAGCAGTTAAAAAAAAAACACAAACAGTGGGGATCAAATACCAACAAAAGAAAGCTCTATTTTTGTAAAACAAAATTGATATAAATTTCATTTGGGTACAGTGCTGCATGATAGAGCAATTGCCAGTTAAATTAGCGCAGTGCTACATAACAAGAAATGATCTTGTCATAGAGGGTTAAAACCTTCCAGTCATTAAGAAGTTAAAAAAAAAAAGTGGTGATCAAATACCGACAAAAGAAAGCTCTATTTTTGTGGAAAAAAAGTATATAAATTTCATTTGGGTACAGTGCTGCGTGACAGAGCAATTGCCAAAGTAGTGCAGTGCTGAATAGCAAGAAATGATCTGGACATAAAGGGGTTAAAACTTTCCAGTCATTAAGCGGTGAAAAAAAGTGGGGATCAAATACCTACAAAAGAAAGCTCTATCTTTGTGAAAAAAAAAAGTATATAAATTTCATTTGGGTACAGTGCTGCATGACAGAGCAATTGACAAAGTAGTGCAGTGCTGAATAGCAAGAAATAATCTGCTCATGAAGGGGTTTAAATCTTCTGAAGGGTAAGCGGTTAATAAAATGCATCTAAAACCATGTTTTGTTAACACATCTAAGCATGTTTGGGATTTCGTTCATTCCATTGGCCGGACTATCAATTTATTCTGGCCACTGTAAATGAAGGAACACTCAAGTACTAAATTTGTCTAGCGTTTAGTCGTGTTCCCATGCGTTTTGCAGCAAAAGGCACTGTCTCTTCCTTAAGTGGTAGTAAATCAGGTAACAGTAAGGAACTGGAAGATGCTTGGGATAATCATAGGTCTATACCCAAAGAAAAAGCTTTCAAACAAGAAGTGAATTAAAAAGGAACTCGGTTAAAAAGTGGAGGGACTGGATGGAGCACGTGGTCTTTTCTTGGCTGGAGCACGTGGTCTTCTCTTGGATGGAGCACGTGGTTTTTTCTATAGAAATGTGACTGCTGGAAAAGACCACGTGCACCAGCCAGGAGCACGTGGTCTTTTTTCCTGCAGGCACACCTCTATGATTGGTCGGTGTATTTTCCAGCAGGAGTTAAAATGTTTTCTGCTGTTTCTTCAGTTTTCTAGGTTTACCAGTAGATGTCGCTAAATCACTAGTACTGACTATGGGAGAGACTAGATATTGAATATGAATGATAATAAAAAGGCGTGTACGAAGTATAGTCCTGCACAGAGCTGCCAGACATTATATACAAACACTGCATTGTGTTTGCTCTTAGATATACTCAGCGTCCTTCTGAGGCGCTGAGTATATCTATAGAGCGATTCATTGTTTTACAAATGATGACGTATATCCGGCCACTTGTGGAAACATCTCTTGTAGAGAGGCAGAGGGCACTGTTGTCAGAGTTCCTTCGGTAGCTCAGTTGGTAGAGCGGAGGACTGTAGTGGAATTACCAAGCTGTAATCCTTAGGTCACTGGTTCGATTCCGGTCCGAAGGACATTTTTTTTTGCATCACAATAAAAAAGCAGATTCATAACATCACCTGCTTTTACCTAACAACACCAATATATATGTGACGTTTAGTATTTTGTTTGTTCGTTGCTTTAAAACATCTTTTTCATATTTTAATTTTGCATGAACATTTGCATGCCTATTAGACTCAGCCCGGGTTTACGGGTTTATGTGGTGCGGGAAACACTGTGAATCCTGAGCGTTTCCCACACTGCATTGCAATCGCATCGGTGCGGGTGTCAATGATAAATTAATGACACCCCAAAACAGATCGCAAAATGCTATGCAATTGCCAGAAATCACATGGGTAAGAACACCCATGCAATGTGATTCAGGTGCAGATTTATAAAAGGGTCCTCTACCTTTTTGGTGCAGACGCGATGTGACTTGATTCATACAAAGTGTATGGCTCAAATCGCACCACACAGACATTTGCATGTAATTCGCACAGGAATGCAGTGAGATTCCAGTACAAATTACATGCGG